ATAGACCGTTAGAGTAACTTCGTTTGACCTCAAAAGAACGAACCGTTCGACGTAAACAGAGCCAGCGGACTAGTGAACTGAAATATACCCAAATAGATTAACCCTTTCCAACATCAGTATGCATATTCTCCATACTGTTTTCTAAACATTTCCTAAGGTGCTGACAAGGAGAATTTGTTCAACAATCAAGAGCTCCTTTGACTGTCATTTTCTTTATTCTCATAACCTGAATGTGTGATTCAGAGGTGATATTGTAAGGAGAAATTAGATGCTAGTCACTCTTAGGGGTTAAACGGTTAAGGTAGCGATGGTTGAGAAATAGCTAAGTTGCCGTATAGTAACTGTAACGTTCATCATACGACTTGACAATAAACGTGTCGAAAAAAGCAAATAGAATCTTAAGCCTATAACCCTGTACAAAGTATAGTGCAATTGGTCTATATCCTGATCTTAACAATTAATCCGATTTCAAAACGTTTTCAAATTGGGTTACATGGTCATAATTCCTCCCCAGTCTCCAGCGTACGAAGTCACTACACCATGGTCAATTACGCCCGTTGTTAGACAAATCATGCCTTTGCGTATGTCAAGGTCAGACAGCAATACTGTGGTTATGCTTCACCTTAAGCTGTCATCTATATTATCTGCTATGTTAGCTCCTAATATCTGCAAGAGGTGTTCTATCCACTTCTAATAACAGTCATAACACAAAGCAACAACTAGATAATAGTCACGCATTTTCAAAGTTTCATCATCTAGCCGAGGATTCTCTGCACTCGATTTCCGCTGATCTTTAGAGCCAACGGCTGGTTATCTAGAATCCTCTAATGAATGTTTTTGAGTTGCAAAATATCAGTGTTTCTGTTTATGTTGTTACCAAGTTAGAAAATGGAGTGAAAAACAGTTTGTATTGGTTTAGAAATTGTGGCAGGGGAACCTGCCATTTCTTGCGCACAGCAGCTAAATATTTTGCTAAGTTTTGATCTTTGCTACTAATTGTTAGAAAATAGCCAACTTGGTTGTTTTTCCATTTTATTATTGGAGGCGAGTGATTGGATTTAATCCCAGTTGATTTCCTTTTCCTTGCTTGTTTTTTTTATTTTTTTTTTATTTTGTTATTTTATCATGGTTCTTCTCACGTTATGAATCCCGCTGCAGCTTGCGCAGAAAATTAACATGTTTTCCGTATTAAGCACCATCCACGCGATGGGAAAATAACTAAAAATAGAAGAAAGCTCTTCACTAAATGCTTGAGTGGCTTCTGAGAGCCACTGATATGTGAAGAGGGCGTAAGGAGCACTTAAGAATAGACTCCAAGTCATTTTCGTTCGCGAATACCTACATGATTTATAGCATGAACAACAAAGAGAGTGTGATGTTATGCAACTGGTACAACTGGTATACAATACTCTGACAAAATGAATTGTTTCGGAGATTAAGGTAAGTGAACATATCACTGCAAGGCCAGTGTTTACAATGCTGAAGCGATTGTCGGAAAATTTTTTGTCTGATACCCTTCGAGACTTAGACCACCAACAGCTGCTATCAAAACAGTCTAGATTCTAACAAAATATACGCGACAGGTTAACGAATTTCTCGTCCTCGCCATCTAGCAACGAGTCATAGAGTGATATGGAAGCAAAAGAGACGGCAGAGTGAGGTAAAGTGAGCATATTAACATCTTCCTACGAATGTAGCACTTTGCGAAGGCTTATACAGCTCATAAAAAAAAAACAACAACAAAAACAAAAAAGATACAATAAATTAATAACATGATAAAAATTATGGTTTAAAAATTGAGGAGCGTATGAACTGCAGCATCGCAGTTATCGCTGATCATTAAGCTCGTACCGTTCAAGACAATTTAATTACAAGGTTATTCGTTAGCCCTAATCAAGGTGAGCGTGTTACCACTATCACAATATTTCAACCAAAAATGGTTTTTATAATTCTCAGAGCTTGAAAATCAAGTTTATTCCAAACTTTTGTCAACCGCAGCAGTTATGTCCCGGATTTACTCGCTGTTCATCAAATCTTTAATTTAAATGGAAGTTTCTCGGTACCTCGGCAGTTAACAAATGTACAAGCCTCTCAGCCTTTATGATGCACATTAGATATAGACGATAAAAACATAACTTTCATGACCACTCGGTAAGTGAGAACTTGTTCATGTTTAATCTGTCGCTTTTTGTGCTGAAAAGAATGTCAAAGTTTCCACCGCAGACTTTCATCAACTTTTTTACGAATCATAAGAATGGGTAATTTGTGTACGTGCTCACCGATTGTTTGCAAACAATTTGCGGCAAGATCATCTGCATGTAAATTACAGAGTAGGAGAGGGCGTATTGATGAAATTGTCGTCTCTGTCCCTTTCGCCCTTCGAGCGTGGATAATAACTTGTCTTTTAAAACAATTCCTTAGTCAATTATATGAAATATTATCGTATTCCGGAGACCTTTTCGACACAATAAAGTGGAAATTTAGGATCAAAGCCAAATCTACATCTGCTTTCCCTTGCGTGGGAGGGATGACAGCTATGCCGATTTGCTTCGCTATCGGCAATGCAAAGCAGTTATAATTAATTGCTCTGAAAGTTATGCATTTCAATTTATCTCTAAATCTAGACGGCCACTAATAAACCTTATTCGCGCGTTTACTTTAAAGCTATTTAAAAAGTCAATTCCTTAAACCTCACGTTTAAAACGCTGTTGAGTTCGTGTCGTGCTCGAAAGTTAATGAAATGTACTGTAGTAGCTCCAAATCATTAAAGATTCATGACCGGATAAGAGCATTTACGTTAGTGATATCAAAAGCAACTGCTGACAAATTAATAAAGAGAATGGCAAATAACTCTAATTTCCATTCTCGATGATTGAGGACACAAATACGAAGAAGATTGTTCCCCCGTGACACCTGCCATTTGCCCTTAGGCTCTGATAATGCTATTGTGTAGCTGCCAAGACCGCTAAACCGATTTGTATACCTTCGAAGGCAAAATGTTCTAATTTGTTATCAGTCTGCATGTTAGAGGTTTACAGCAGAACGATAATTCCACAGAAATAGGATTAGTGTAAACAGGGGTAAACAACGAATCGCTGCGAGGATTCAAGACTGCTCTTAGCTGTGCGCAATAGTTGAAATGAAATCTCTTGAGTTCCAACGTTTTCCTTGAACTGGACGTGGTTGAAGGTATGGCCTGTAGTACAACATAGTGTGCTGCATCACTTTAAGAAATTGGTGTAGACAGTATTAAAGGATATGTAATTGTAATATTGTTTTTTGAACATAATTTCGAAACCATAAATGTATTCTTTACGTGTGACATGGACCCTTGATTGAAAAGGCAAAATATAATCCCAATACAGAATCCTCAGGGCTATTTCCCTTTGATATAAAACGGCTTTTCAAGAAAAGATTAAAAAAGGAAAAAAAATCGTTGATAATTTTAGGCAAAGGTTTCACTTAGCTCTCGATATAACAAGGAAGAATTTCATCTCGGCTGGCTACTTTTCTCAATAAGCGAAAATGGAATGCTAGAGTAAGGAAAGTGGAAGCCTTTAGTACAAAAATATCTCAAAAAATGCTAGCCTGGAAGCAAGGTGCAGCGTTAAAGTAGTCCTTAGGCTAAATGTTCCGTGAACTTTGCCGTTTAACCATTAAATTTTCATTCCGTCTGAACTTGAATTAGAAGAGTCACCTGTGGTGACGCTGACGTGTACTTACTTTCATGATTCGACCATTATAGCCGCAAGACGTAATGAGAAAGGTTCCAACACTTTCGCAAAAAAACTCGACACCAACGAATCTTTGGCCAAAGTTGTTTCAATAAAGAAAAGATTTTTTCGAAAGTAGTTGGTTCAGGTTTCAAGGCGAGCACTGGTCAGACATCATAAACAACTACACAGAGTCTGCCTCAAACCTACTCTCCGATGAACTTCTAAGCACGACATCAAGTAGACACGCTCATAGAAGTAAAGAAAAAAAAATGATAAAATCCAGCGACGAGGATTTATCGTCTCGGACCTTAACTAAAATCAGAGGTACCTTATTTTGTGAATACATAATGTAAGGAAGTACGGGGGCGGGCAATTTTTGGATTAGCAAGCAATTTTTGAGCTCTTCCACTGTTGCTTAAAAAACAGAAAGAGCAAGTAGGTGCTGTTTCATAAGCTTTGTTACATAAAAGACGTTGTTACGTTCCGTTTTTATTCAGCTATCACTAAACCAAATTACTGTGTATTTGAGGTTATAAATGGAAGTATCGAGCTTGACCAACTCGTAAAGATATAGCTCGTGGTTTTGACCTCTTTTGAGAAATATACGTTTAAATGTAGAAATTATAACAATAACGTTAATTCTTGATAAGGCGGTGGGTTTAAAATGAATCAACTTTCAATTCATCCTTCAATTTAATCAAGTTACAAACTTTGATAAGAAATCTTAGCAACTCTACAGCATAACAAAAGAAACCTTCATTCTTTCTCCAAATACTCATAATCCGAAAACATGTTTAGTATCTGCACTTGACAGCTCAATAACATTTACGTCTAACTTGAGTATATGCATATCAACCTTTCTGTCACGATCAACTTCGCTTTTACAGAACAATTTAACCAAAGTTACGGATTAATGGTCATGACAAGTGACTAGCTTAAACTCTGAAGAGGTAAAAACAGTCTTAAAACCCACCGCTAAGGATTAAAAAAAAAATCTTTGTGGCAGAATATATCGTCTGGATAAGCTCCGGCTCTTCAAACTTAATTATTCGTGAAGGGTTTTCATTTTAATATCGCAATATAGCGATATGGCCGGAAAAGGCCAAACAACGACGAAACAAAAAAAATGAAGAAAAAAACCGAGATGTACAATCATTTAAACCGAAATCAAATGCAATGTTTACACGTTGTAGATGATTAAATCTATAACAATTGTCTTACAATATCATAGTAGTCGTTTTCTAATATTGTGAAGTAAAATAAATGAATTGAAGCGAAAAAAAAATGTTAAAGTACATATTAACCATATTAAGACAAATCACAAACTTCATCATTTAACCCTTTAACTCCCAAGATCGGATTGTTAATTCTCCCCTGTAGCTGCTACGCATTTCATTGAAAATTAGTTATGAGAACTTGGTGCTAGATCAAGATGATAACATCTTTTACCTGATAAGTTTGAATATTCTCATTACCTGTTTGCTGAAAATGTATTGATATGGTTAAAAGGAGTTAAAGGGTTAAACATTACGAAATGATAGGAGTCAATCAATTCCCTGGTAACCTAAAAACTGGGGCAAGAGAGCATAAAGCCTCAAAGACTATTACTTCTAGATTTCTGATGATATCTACCCAAGTAATTACTACGGCCAATCACAACAAAAGCTTTTAAATTTCAAATGCAGCCAAACGGAACTCAAAGAAAATACATACACAAACAGCAAAACACGACTGAACAAACCGCAATTGGTTTCAGTTTTGAGTCTGATTGGTTGGCAGATGCGCGCTAGTTTTCTAAACCAATCAGTGAGTGCGGTACCAAAGCATATCGAATTCAATCCTGTATTACTCTCAGCACTCAAACGAGAGGTGATGGGAATTGAATGAAAACAGATTTAAAGTCTTCATTCAAAAGTCTCTATTCTCTTATTAAATTATCTATTTTTCAATAACGCATACCGATTTCATTTATTGATTTCAATCACCAGCAGTTTGGGTTACTTCAGTATTCGACATTTCGCTAATCTGCTCAATCAGTCAACTGCTTTATGACCTTTAAATGAAATGCTGTAACCACCACGACATTTTTCGTGGATAGGATATACTCCATTGCTTTCAAATTACTGTTTAATTCCAGCCTCAGTAAGGAAAATAGGATTACGTTCAGACATTGAACAGTATGATCTAAACCGATATCGGACACGCTTGTTTTTCAGAAAATAAGGCGCATTGTCTTTGTACCGGTCCCTGAAGAGCAAAAGTTAGAAAATATGTTGTTTAGACTCGAAAGACATTTTGTTACAATTTAAAACAATCCCTTTGGGGATACTTTCAGAAAATGTTTCTTTTTTGGGGAAAGGGATGGGGGGAGGGGGGGACGGTGATGGAGCAAAACCGAATATTGAAGGTAACGTCGCGGCTACCTGTACACGTGTTCTAACCGTGAGATGCAAGTCATCTGGAGTAGACGAACAAGAGTAACTTAACTCTACAGTGCGCCAAGAACACGTCCATTTCCAACCGAGCGTCTTACATCAGAGTTTGGTGCGGCATACCTACTGGGAAAACCGGTTCACGCTCTAGTTAGGATTCCTCGCCCAAATTATTTCGAGTGGTTTGGAAGCAGTCCAGCTTCGGTTCAATGTGAAATGTTGTGTATCAACTACACCCACACAGTTGACAACTGGAAGAAGGATTTAATTTTTTTTTTTTTCAAATTCTTAGACGTTTTTGTTCATTCTCTGAACCGGATTTAGACCGATGACAATTAGCTCCCCTTAGTAATCCTACAGCTAATCCTCGAATATCGCCTTAAGATAAATACTGTGAACTAAAGCTGCTGTGCTGAGATTGAAACAGAGCCACATAACAAGACACTTCACTGTCAACTCTTTGGAAGGAGGGTGGCACTGGGTAACATAATCTCGCAATGATCACGACGAAGTGTTTATGTGGGTATCCGGAATGTTTCCTTTAGCGTTTTTTTGAGGCACAAGAGTGAAATGCCATGGTCTAAGCAGACAAACCTGGACATCTGTTAACGCAACAAGTACCAGAGACGGCCACATTCTCGTGCAAGAATGATAAGATTCTTAATGAAGACCTGACCTGATGGTTATCCCTACTCGACATTTCTGTATACTGCACGAAAATCACGAGTTATCGGAGCAGCTACAAAGGTCTCGGAGAGTGATCTGTTCTTTATTTAACTTTCTTCGCAGTCTATCATAAACTATTTTTACCATTCAAAAGCAAGAATTGGTCAAACTTCCTAAACAAAGGGAAATGGTCGACTCTGGCAATATAAACTTTCGTGTGACTGTCAGGACACCTGCTAAAAGGATTTCACAGCTCTAATTGCCATCTTTTCTCTAAAGCAGCTTTCAAAACTCCACCCACAAACAGATTATCACAACGCTTCTCTATACAACTTCGTTAGCATACGCCGGCTTTGTATCAGCATCAACTAAGTGCGCTGAACTGGAAAAATGAAACATTTTTGCGTCAGTCTAGTTTTTTTTTTCTCCTTTTTTTCGAGGTCAGGTACAACGTAACTACAACTATCATAGCGAAATACAAACAATCTCCTTGGTCGCACACAATTCCCATGATTACAGTGTGATCTGTTCATTTTATGCTCTGGCGCCAACCTGATGATTACAAACTGACCAGTTATGATTTTTGAAACGTTATCCATCAACGCCGGTCTCTAAAACCGCATTCCGATCTCGCCAAACAGACATTGTTGTAGACGGGTGCGCCAAGAGATGTGATGCAATTTTTAAACTTGGTTCGTTCCAAAATATGAAAATTTCGAACGTGGGTTTCCGAATTTGCAAAGGAATCGTAAGACACGTGTTGACTGCTGTATGATTTCCGTTTCAAAAGATGATACATTTCCTCAAGTGATTTCAACACGCGACAACTACCGCATACAAAAAAGCGTGAAGAGTCTCCTCTGGTTCATGTACAGCGGTTCAATTTACCACTTGAGATCTTGGACATCTCATCTTTGAACTAAACAAGCGCTTTGAAGTCCGTCATGGAGCCTTGTCTCTATGGCATAAATACATATTAATATAAAAAAGAACAATTTCTGCCGAACTTTTCAATAGATTTCAACGACCCGATAATAACTTATACAGATTTTTGTGCAAAAAGAAAATCAGATTCTAAAAAAAGATAAAAATTCATAGAGGGAAATTTCTAATTTAGGGTAAAACAAGATTAGCACTGGCCACCTGCCTGACATAATTACTGCTAGAAGCTCAATTTAGAGATCGCAAAATTCCGGCTTTCCTTTCCATAAGATATTTATAGCCTGAGTAAGCCTTTAATTTTCTCGATATTGGGATTCTTGCTGAGTACTTGACAAATGTAACGTAAATAAATAAAGTTGGAACATGGTTATTTCTGTATGAACGAGTGACAATTGAATTTGTCGTACACAACAAGTGCTATCTTAGTACTGTTACAACACTCGAGAGAGTCTCAAAAGGGTTAAGAGTACATTTCACAGCGTGAAAACGATATAACAGTTAATAGACACATTTTCTGTTTTTAGTACATTATACTACAAATAGAATTTCTGTTATTTCGTGGGAGTGCAAACATATGAATTTGAAAATTTCAGACATTCCGAGGTATGGTTCAGTTCGATCGACAAAACACAAAATCAAGGCCGAATTGCTGAAAGATGAGAGCGATAAGAGTCCACGAAAGGGGCGTCACATCTCGTGTTTCTCAGGAATCCACCTCTAACTATTTTTGTCTGCTTGCAGGTATTGAATTTTGCAGCAGCCCTCCTGCTTACAAAGTTAAACGCATTAACAAGACCAGACCAATTTTCGCACACCTAAGAGCTGCCCAAGAAAAATAAAAAGACATCAGGAGGCACAGATTAACTATTTACAGTCACGAGGTAACGAGAAAATAGTCGCAGCTTATGCTAATGAAATAGATATCCGTACAATTCGGGTAAAGAGTTGGAACAGATAAGCAGGTCAATAAACATTCCGAACGAGGCACTGTTAATTTAAAACACGTTGACAAAAGCACCTAAGCCATTACTATGACAATTGTACAGATGGAAGGAGACCTTTTCGGTAATCTCATTTAGAGTCATCCTCTGGTTTGTAAAAGTACGGAGTAGAAAAGGAGCAGGCTACAATTTCCCCAAATATTTTGCGAATCACACGATTTACATCCGTATTCGCGAGTCACCAGTAGTGTACGAGGTAGCGAGTTCGTCAGGTGAGCTGTTTTTTTCATTCGTGGAACTGTTCGCAGCTTCGGCTTCTCTTCTTTCTCATTATAATAGTTATAGTTTGCGCTACGATTGCCAACAGCCTTTGTGATGAAGTGGCTGTACTCATGGAAAAGTAAATACGGGATCGATTGTTTACTTGAGGCAAACAGTTTGTTATCACACGTATTGGCTATTTAGTGAGAATCCCCCGGAGGATTGAGGAATGTTGTTAAAATGTTGTTTTCGAAGGAAGATTTGTTATTAACCAAATAACACAAAGCTTGCGAAGAAGGAAAAGAGTAAGCGATGAGGATCAATGCTTCCGTCGCTTGCAAAGATTTCCTTCTCAAATTTTTAATGTTTTTAACTGGACCACGGTAGTACTTTCACTAAACAATCTTCCTGCGGTTTTAACAAACTCTTGGTCTTAATGGTGCGAGTTCCTTCTCGACGCACTCATCAGATCTAAAAGGCACAGACCTCAGTGAATATGCAAAGGATTCTGTTAATGTGCTTTCAAAAAGACCAAGAAGTGATTAGGACCTGAATAATAAATTTGCCCCAGGGGTACAAAAACCTCACTCAACCGGAAACGCGTGAGTACTTGACATCTATTGTATTTTTGACATGATTGATAGAGGTGTGGCCATTTGTCACTTGAAACTATTGAAATTTCACACAAAATTCAACCAAAGCCAACATACCGAGACCAATGAAATACTAAGCCAATCAAAATTCACTTGCAAAGGAATTTGTGTCGTTGTTTGGCTGTGCTTAACGCTGAATCACTAAGAGAATTGGAATATCGACTTTTTCCGGACAAAATTTCCTCTTTGTCGCTCTATACATCTTCATGAAAGCAAGGCATCTGTCACGGTGACATCAAATAGAAAATAATTCGCTATTTGGCACTACGTCAGTATTGTGCCATCAGATTGACAACAAGCAAATGAATTGTCTGCGCAGCCCCAAGATAAACCAGGCAACTTGAGAAGTGGAGGGCACCTAAAGATCATCTAACCTAGAAAATCACTTATCTCCGTAGTTATCCTACAATCGTTGGACCGATTGACGAATTTCTGCGGTGAACAGTATGTTAATTCGTAAAGGAAGGCTTCGGTCGATGTGAGGATGCAGGAAAAGCGGTGTTGGTGGATATTGTTGGTTAACTTTATAATCAATTCGCAGACTGCTCAACCCGGTAAGTAGATATCTAAATACTCCATTGTTTTATAATATTTACATGTAAAGGAAAAAGGGCCTTCCTTGTTTAAAGTTTGGTTAAAACGGTTGACTCGGACAGATCTTTGTATGAGTTACTGTAAAATGAAAACGGTTTCCGCTTTTTCTGTCAGCCTAAATTAAAAGTCGTGTGTGAGATCTCGTCACGCTTCGAAAATCAATTTGAAGTAATATGTCAAGATCAATGGCTCTATTCATTAGAATCATGCAAGGAAAACTCGTTATTACTAGACGGGTCAAAGGAAATGCTACAGAATAGCTTCACGAACATTCGCGAATGTTTGTTCAACGCTTAAGCATAGCAAAGTAGATAGCAAATAAGACACTCGGTCATCACAAGCTGCTGTTTACCATTTGCATTGTGTTCGGCATTGTTGCCTTGTGATATTTCTGGTCTCTCCAGCTGCTCTTAACGCCTTCACGTTTTATCAGTCATTCAAAGAGTAAAGAGCATATTCGCACTGTACTCGCGATTCAAGCGAAAGGTTATGGTCCTAAGTCACAATAAACAATATTCGAGGGACAATCGTTTTCCGTCGAAAAACAATTCCGTGTTCGTGATCGTTTTATGGCCACCTTGTTTTCTTCGGCGACAAGGTGCCAATATCCCAAATGGAAGTGATATAGGAACTAACACTAATCATATTTTAATAAAAATATTCAACAAATGCTAACTTTGAACAAAGATTTGTAGGATTTTGACCCTGTTTC